ATGGTAATTGCATTATGTTGGTTTAGTCCTACCTGACTTTGCATGGGTCTCTTTTTCGGTATTGTAATGGAACTGCAAAAATTGAAATCTATTTAATTGGATGGTGTTTGTTTACAAGTACTTATTTTTGGGGTTGAGATCACAGGAGAAGATAATGCTGTTAGCTGCTTAAGAATAAAAAGGAAAGGAGTCATCGAAAACAATCCTGCTGGTAGGAGGAAGGTTCGCTTGCAGGGGAAGAGCAGTTTGTAGGAAGAATCGCTTGGTTTACATGGTGAGATGAAGAGATGGGCTCACAAGGGGAGAGAGTGGGGGGTGAATGATGTCAGTCAGCCTTTTAATGCATCCTGCTGTTTGTGTGTCCCAAATAATGGAGTATCTGCATGTTCTTTTAACTCGGAGTCTGTCTTGAATCCGTTCTAATCTGTTTCAAATGTAGATGAGTTTGTTATTTTGGTAAATACATCCACTATATAGGTCCCTTTGGTCTCTGTTGTGTTTTCAGAGATGTCATTGACTGTACCAGAGTGTTTTTCATTGCCAAAAATAAATTAGGTTTTAGCATTAGTTGTGGGGAAAAGCAGTACTTGTTAACAACAATCGTGGTCAAGGGTGGGTCAGTTTTCTCGTACAGGTGTCTTTAGCATATGATAAAAAGCAGCTGCTACATGTCAAAGTTTAAATAGAAAATCCCTGTGTAACACAAGTGCAACAAATTCTGAGATATTTGAAAGTACAGAGAAGAAACATTCCATGTTATTTTGATAGCATACTGCAAACCCACACTTAATAGTGGAACACGTGGACATGCCCAGTGTGATTGCAGGAGGGATTTTTTGCTGCTGGGTGAGAAAAACGTGCATTAGTTCATCCAGAGTTGGTTTATTATAACACTCTCTTTACAACCCGTCTAATGTTAGGCCTTGCATTAATGTAGCTACTCCAACAGGACGCCTCTTGGTGCTGATAAATTGTAAGATCTTTGGGATTTATTCATGGAAGGAAATCTAAGTTTTCATTTGATTTGTTGAAGCTCATTCTTAATGCGAAATGCCAGTGCAATGAAGTTTGGTTCAGATGCAGAGACTGAACTTGAGTTTATAGGAATCGGGGAACTGGCTTCTGGTGGGAAGTTGCACATGATCAAAACAAGGAACAGAGATAAAGTGCATGTTGAAGTCCTGTTCTGGAAGAAATGCATCTTATTGCAAGTATAGCTAGCCCCCTAGATAAAGTTGCACATCTGTGTTTTTTTTCTCTCTGCAGGCTATATACTCATTTAAGGTTTGTTTTGCCGTATTGTGAATTCTAAACCCTTAAAAGAAATGTGCTGTCTGACAGGCTGTTTTCTGTTGTTCCAGCGTTTGCTTACAGAATGATATTATCACAGTGAAAAACTTGCTTTATCCACTGAAGCCATCCAATGAATTTTGTCCATGTGGATTCTTTTAGGCTATATTAAAAAGAAATGCAGAGAAAATGCTAGTTTCCCAGAGATGGTTGAATGAAATAAACTCTGTAAGCAGCACTCATTTTATTCCTCAGCTATGCTATGAGTGTTAGGGCTTAAGTGACTGCTTTAATGTGGTTTGGACTAGCCATTGTTTTCTGCTGCTGTCATTCTATGGAATATTGGTGTTTGGATTCTTATTAGCAAGTCATGTTAAAATACGTAAGTCTTACACAATAACACTTGCTCCGAATTATTATTTACTTTTAAAGCCAAGCTTTCATCTGACTTTTAGTTGTTTAAAACTTAGTAACAGCACCGCTGTAAGTTGGAAGAGAGATTGTATTTGATGCTTGGTACCAGAGAATCACCAAGCATGCTGCAGAGCACAAGCTCCCTGCAGTTTGTCAGTGTGCATCTTGAGGGAGACTTGTGGCTGTGTGACCCTGATACAGCAATCTCTACTGAAAAACATTTGTAAGGCCTTGCTGTAGCACTAGCATTGATGAGGTCCTTGATTTGGAAGGATTTGCAGTATTTTCTTCGCTGGGCTCTGCTTGTGGTTAGGGTGGCCAGTGCATGGGGGGGAATCTTGAGGATGGTTAATAGCTGATGTGGTACCAGTGCTTTCTGAAGGTGAGGTCTCCTCTTGTGCTTTCCTGTTTGCAGACCTGAAGTTATTTGAGCTGGGTGATTTCACTACTTCTCCATCTGGCCCAAAAGTCAGAGCCCACAACCCCTCTGTGAAGTGGGTGATAGTTGGTAAAACGATACCTCTGTCCTTCAGTTTGAGCCACCTGCAGAATATAACAACACAGCAGCTGCTTATTAGTATATAGCACCACGAGGCAGCATCATACAGTGCTATCAACACCTGAAGTTGATGGAGGGCTTGTAGATTAACTAGTTATTTTAAATGTAGTATGTCCAAGCTATGAGGTGGAATTACACAAGCTCTGATGAGAAGTGTGTAACTTCTAATGACCGCTTATAAAGAGTGAAGGCTTCTTCCCTTTGAAGTAGCTGTTCCTCTGTGAGGTTTGGGATTCATGCACTGTTAACTCTTTGCTTTTCAGAGCCAGCAATTTGCGTGTGTTGCTTGGTGATTTTCATCCTGGCCACTTTGGTCCCTCACTTGGTGTCTGTCTGGGATGTAGCATAGAACATCTAGCAGAAAATGTATTCAGGATTACAAGGCTCTGTGAAATTTTAATATTTCACATGTTATTTGCAAACTTTGATTGTGATATGAGAACACAAGTGATTGCTGCCTTACTTTCTTGTCTGAAGAGCTCCTGAAATAGGAAGTTGAGTGACAGATGAAGATGATAGTTGCATTTAGGTTTTCTCAAACACATATTGACCATTTTTAAAATGCCATTTGAGTGAGAACACATTTAGTTTGAGTTTTGAAATGGGTGGGAGAAGTGGGTTGTGAGAATAGTGAATGCTAATGTGATTATCCTTTTTTAATTTTATTTGATTTAAATGTCTTGGAATACTTCAACCACAGACACCTAGGACCTACACTGATTAGTCTATGCTGGATATTAAATGTCATGGGTAAGGGTATGCTTTCCTTGTGGTATAGAGTTATGCAAACATCAGTAAATTATAGTCCTGTTTCTGCTCTTGGATGTGTAATTTTAGGGTACAGGAATCAGGTCTATCTGTTAGGCCATAAGAATGAGCAAAATATTGTATTAGAAAGTCTTCCTTTTAGTACCAACCTTGAATTTTCCTTAAAGTAACTGTATACATATGTCAGAATTAATTTTCCACATGATGTTTGCAGTGACTTTAATGAAGTGACACGTTGATGTAGGAAAGTCTAAGATCTCTTTGACAGCATGAGACATTATCAATAGGTAATGAAGATGTTTATCTTATTTTTTTTAGTGTGCTACTTCTACTATAATTATTAGTATTTTAAGCAAACTTTAAGTCATTGAGTAAGTGAGCTTTACTGTCACTAAATATGACTCCTTTTTATTAAAGTTGCAGATCTTACTCTTGCCATATGCAGCTAATTTTCCTTTGGGGGGGGAAAAAAGCTTGTTACTTTTTTAGTGGAGCAATCTGTTACCTTGTCTGTAGTCTGTGAAGTCAGTGCAATTCTAATTTGCATTAGCTAATAAAAAATGTGTGGGTTTTAAAGTGAAAATCATGCAAAAATGGGGGAAAAAGAAGGTGAACTAACGACTGATCATCTATGCAAAAAAAACAAGACTAGAAATGTGATCAAATTAGGTCATGGCAGTGCAGTTTTGTGCAGGGCTGTGAGCATATCTGCAGACCTTGTATGTTTTATCTTGGGAAGCAAAGCTCTTGGAAAATGTGCATAAGAGGGATGAAGAGAGCTTTTTTTCATCCTTCTCTTCTGAGCTATCATTGGGAAAGCAAGATTTGATGTTGCATTAAGCGACAGAAATTTTAACTTAAGCTAAAATCTGCACAGTTCATGTAATTGTTCTGGTGCAATTCATTTGCAGGAAAAACAAGTCACAGCTGGTTTTGTGTGACCTGCTATACAATGAAGTAATTAATGCTTTTATTATTTATTATACTGTTGCAGTGCTCACATGTGGTAAGGGGTCCTGTTGTGAGAAGCTTGCAGCCAAAGTGACCAAAAGGTCAGACAGAGGTGTACAAAGAATTAATGAAGTAACATTGATGAGTATGGGCTCTCAACAGTGCTGTGAGAAATGGTCAAGCATCGGGGCTGGTCATGTTAACTGCAGATGATGAAGAAGGGGGATAAGGAGGGCTAGTCTGGAGGAGGAAACTGGGTAGGGACTGTAACTGATGTTGAGTAAAGTTTGATTCTAGTTCTTATATATGAAAGGGTGAAGATTTCTAAGGTGGTGGTATTGCTTGTTTTGTGAAGGTATCTTTACCTGTTTGTGGAATGTGTGTTAGCCTGACCTATCATGTGAGGGAGACACAACTGGTGGCACTACAAGTCCAATTGAAGGATGGAGAAGTCAGTGCTCTGTATCGTCAGGTTTCATCCTTTGGATAGGGAAGCGTAGATGGATGGAGGTTTAAAAAAGGAAACAAAACCCAACAAACCACAAAACCACCCAAACAAACAAAAAACCACAAAAATGGGTTGAGAAGGAACTAAATGGATTCTGAAGGTTTTTCCTGGCATCTGACTCCCGCAGGGAGACATTGAGCAGTCGGGCAGAAATACCTACAGTGACCTTTGCATCCATTTTTGTTCCATGGCAGGAGCAGATACATATAATCCTTGGAAAACAGTTTAGGCCATTTCTTCAAGGTTTACTCCAAAGAGGAAGCACATCTCTCCTTTCTCTTATCTTGCATAAAATATTCTCTGTAGCCTTTTTCTCATCTGGCAGAAGCAAACTCTCCCCACCCCAACCTCTGAAGGACTGTTTGGTAATGAAAGAAAACATGCTTCAGGGCTTTTTCTGGCATAACTGCATTAAAACATAGCATTCCAGTGCAGGCACAAAGTAGAAGTAAGTAGAAATCTCTCACTTTTACTCCTTGCAACTAATAAGAAATACCATTCTTTTTTAAGGGGCAGCAGGTTGTTTGACACACATGGGCACACAAGATTATGAATAGTGAAGACAATGGCGAGCGGGACATCCATCAGAGAGTAACAACCTCATATAAGGTAACTCAGGAACACACTGAATTTGTCCTGTTGTACTTGCAAAATCAATTAAGTAGTTGGTGTTGTCCTCCATTTTCATGGCACTGCGATCATTATAACCATGAATGTATAGGTACATTTTTATCCCCCTTCTGCTTCATTTAATTCTTTTGCTTGCATGGAGAAAGCCACTATGTAGCAATCCAAATGCATAGTGTGTTCTGAATGAGATTGATTACAGTTGCAAAACATTAAATATTAAATGCCAAATGGCTAATGACTTCCAGTAGTCTTCCTTTCCTCCTTCAAAGATTGATGCTGTAAATGAGGATTTGCAAACAGGAATTTTAAATGATCTATGGAACAGGAGTGGAAATGTTTTCAAAGCTGGTGTGTACCTAGAACTATCCCGAAACCTTTAATGTTATAGTAAAGTAGGCTTGTATGTGATTTGAATTTCTTTGCTTGCCATAGAGGTGAGATAGAAGAGAAGATATTTACAGAAACTGTGCAAGTGATAAAAGGAGCTGCCTTTTATGACTGACTTTGTCTTCTGCTTTGTATGTTTTAGTACTTATGTACTTTAGTACTAGCTAATTTGAATAAGCTCTGGTAGTCACATGCAACATATGGGGCCAGTGCCAACTTTTTATAATGCTGCATTACAAATATACCCACCAGCTGAGAAGTGTGATATAAAGAGCTTTGCTTTTTCTTAACCAACTGTCTTCGTAGATAGTTGCAGGGGGAATGCTGCTGGCCCCTTCAATGAGAAATTCCTTTTTGCTTCATCTGTTTAGTCATCCTATCTCTTTCCTGAACTGTTTTGAGCAATGAGATTGACCTTAATTTTCAAGATCACATGAGGTTTTGCAAGTATTATTCCTTTACAGGAAGGAACTGTAATAATGGCAGTAGAAAGTTTGTTTATATTAACTTTTGATCAGTTTTGGTATCTTGTTTTTGTACACATTCAGAATGTAAGGCTAAAGGGGCGTATTGATTTTTATTTCTTTAAAGATCTCCCCCTGACTTATTACCAGTTAGATTTGATCCGTTTTCACCTGTAAATCCAAGGGAAGATCTTGTTCTCGTAGTTGGAATTCCATTAACAGAACTGTTAGTGGTGTGATGCAGAATGAAGTCAAGCTCACTGTCGTATAGGTGAGCATGTTCTGAAGTGCTAATTGGAGTTTAGAAAAAGAGCTTAGCAAAAGCTTATTAGAGCTAATAGAAATACTTCCATTGTCATCAGATTAACCAAGTTTGATTTTTGGACTATGCTGCAAAAGCTGAACTATTGAGTTAGTGATTGCTGGTTTTTAAATCCCCTTTGCTCCCAGTGTCAGATAATGGGGTTCCTACTATAAAACAAAACAAAGCCAGTTCCTAAGCCATGTATAACCTATCGAGCTAAAAACTCTTCCTTTATAACCCTGTGCTGAACTAGTGATTGTTGTCATACATGGTAAGTTGAAGCATTTATAAATGTCAAAGACAAGCTTTTGCTGTGCATAATTTCCATATTTGCAATCTACTTAGGGTCACTGTAGCTACCTGTTAATTATGAGTTTAAATCTCTCCAAGAAGCAGCTAAATAACTGCTTTGCAGTGGGCACAACTAGGCTATAGAAGAGTGAATAGATATCTGCGCCTTCATCTGGAAAGATGTCAGTGATTGATGTTTTCACTTTTCACTTGTCTGTTTCACTTGTCCGTGTGTGTATCTGCATCACACGAGAAGAAGTGCCCAGTGGGGTATGGGGAGCTGATTGCAGTGTCTTCTGGATGACCTAGGAATCATGAGGCTCTGGAAACCCTTATGATACTTACGTAAAAGAAGGTTTAGGTGATGTTGTAGGTTGGCATCCTAATAAAACAAGATTGCTGTAAATTTGAAGTTTAGAATTCACTTTTGTCTTTAGAACTTTACCTTGTGCTTTAATCTTGATTAACTTTACAGGAGTTTAAATACCTTTTTTTTTTTTTCCCCTCTTTTTCATCTTCTAGTTCCATGTTAATATCCATTGCAACAGTGTTTGAATATTTTCTGAGGCTCCTATTGCACAGCATTACCTTTCTCATACCCTGCTTTTGTTCTCTTTCTTCTGATACTCCTTTCCATTCTAGGAAAGGAATATCTGCCTGTTAATAGGAAATTATACACAATATATGTGAAAATGTAAACACTTAACAGACTTTGTGTACTGTGGGAGAGCCCCTGTATACCTGTATGTTTTTTCTTGTGCCCAGCTGGATAGCAGGTAGTACTGCAGATGGGAACTTTTCATACTGAGCATGGAGTATAGTACTTCTTTCTTTCCCAATGTATGCTTGAAATCTAAGCTCTTTCACAATGGCTATTTTAGGTAGCCATTCTACCAAGGTAACTATAAATTGAATTGTTCTGGTATATGTTCTCATGGTGTTTGACAGGCCGATATTAACTGCACTTATGTGTTTTCAGGTCTCATATTATCATGTTTGTGTTTGATTTCTAGAATATAGAGGTTCTTTGCAGTCTTTACGTGCTATTAAAGAAGTCCACAAGCCAAAACACAGACAGTGCACTCTAATTAAAAAAAAAAGGGAGGAGAAGGGGGAGAAATAATTAGTTTTCAGTCTGAACATTAGTGTTACTAATATTCATGTGCTATAGGTCACAGGAAAAGATTATATTATTAAGATGAAAATATTTTCACTGAAGCTTAGAGGTGATACATATTTAGAGAAAAAATAAATATCATAGTTCAGTTGCTCTAGCAATGCAGATTCTGTTCATGCAACAGTTTAGATCATCCATTGTTCCTGGACTTAGTGTTATTAACCATGTTGTGATATTTAAATGAGTGTTAGTTACTGGTGTTTTTCCATTTTACTTGTTCAGAAGCTTTAATTGTGGACTCTTTGTTTGATGCTGCCATTTCTGAAGAAAATCTTTACTATTTATAATGTGTAGCACCCTTTTCTTTTGCAGCTGGTGATGTGAACCATGTAGTATGATTTTGTTAGCAACAGTGAGGTGGTTTGGTTTTTGTCATATATGTAAGATGACTTTGCATATAGAGTGTAAATCTTAGCGTTGTTTTTCCTTAGCACTGACTTTTTTCCTAGCTATCTCTTTCCTAGTCCCACTCCTAATTAATTCATGCTTTATATTGATCCAGGTGACTAGTGTGACCTCATGACGCCTCTGTAAAAGCCAGATTCAGCTAGGATGTTACACCATCACTGTCGGAGAAACCCTGAACTACAGGAAGAGTTGCAGATTCAGGCTGCAGTTGCTGCTGGCGATGTTCACACCGTGCGCAAGATGTTGGAGCAAGGATATTCTCCTAATGGTCGAGATGCCAATGGCTGGACCTTGCTTCATTTCTCTGCAGCAAGAGTGAAAGAGAGATGTGTCCGGGTTTTTCTTGAGCATGGAGGTAAGTTGTCTTGTGGCTGCATCCCTCCGTAGTGAAGCTTTATTTCAAGAACTGATTTGAGTTTGGTATTACTCACTTGGGTGATGATGATTACCCTCAGATGGTATGGTGAGAAATTCTTTTTGCTATTTCTTCTCTCAAGGCCACCTAAAGTTCTAGAAATGGATAGTTTTAACCTTTTAATGTGATACTGGAAAGGAAAAGGAAACATTGGTATATGTTTTCCAGATTCCGATGGGTCCTCCTAAAGAACAGCATCCGCTATTTTAGTGCTGTTCTTATCAAATGAATTCTTATGGGTTTGGTCCCCCTTTTTGATGCTTTACCTATCTGAGGCTGTATGGGCTCCTTATGTGTGTTACAGTATTTGTTAGATGTACAGATCACCCTTAAAATGAATGGCATTAATGGGCTGTGGCATTTGCACAACTCGTGGTGTGTTCCTGAAGAGCAGTAGTGAGATACAGCCTGCACAACTGGACACCCCTTGATACACCTACTACGGATTCTAGCCATATAGTATTGCCAAACCCTCACATCTTTACTGGAAGAGGGGGGAAAAAGGCTACTAAACTGCACTAATAGCTATATTCTACATTTTGCATGTAATATATGTGGATAATCTCAAGCCTTCTGTTTGATAATTCAAAATCCTTATGCTGTAAGGCTAGGGATATGTTGGGTTTAGCTCTAAGCTTGAAAGTGATCTGAAACAAACCCACCCTTATGTATTCCTATGTATTTTTATTGCATGGGTTTTGATATTAAATAGCTGCTGGTGCAGTGTTTTGTTTTCATTTTAGTTGTTACTCTTTCCTACATGAAGTACCAGCTGAATCTGATGCCTTCTGAAAACTGCCTCTAATGAAAAGCTCTTGTTCTGGAAGGAGTCTAGCATTTAATCACCAGGACTAGAAAGTTGAGTAACAAATAGTGTGAGGGTTAGTCATCTACAGCAGCTTTCCTTTAGCTGAGCCTCGCTTCAGAAAATTGGCACTGTTTTGTGCCTTGCCTTGTTTTACCTCAAAACAGACGCATAAAAGATAATGAGTATTTAAAACATACTAATATCACAAATGAGCTATTAAGCAGTGAATGAGCTGACTCTTAAAAGCAGAGTTAATCATGCTTGCCTCATTAGTGAGAGGTTTGTGTCTACCTTTCTTCACACAGTCTTCATCTTTGTCTCAAGAAGTGGATTATTTCGATGCTGGTGCTTAAATCCCTGTGGACCAAAATGATATTGGCATGAAGGAAAAAGTAATTTTCTGGTGTGAGTCTTATGGTAAACAGAGTATTGAACTACCTATATATATATATTAGTAATAAAGAAGGTAGTGAGAGGGTGTGGATGGAGTTCTGGAGGAAAGAGGGAATTGAGATGTTGGTGGGAAGGAAGGGACAACTGGTAATAGTTGTGTCTGTCTACAGGGATGATGAAACTTAGCAGAGCTGGAAATACATTCACAGTACAGGAATGAGAAAACCACACCAGACTGTTGCTGAGGGTAGAGTGCTGTGTCTCCAATTTGAGATGCTGCAAGACTACTGATGTAGTCTTGTGTGGTAGTGGGATGGAGATGGAGTTTGTCTAATAAAAGCTGAGAAGGAATCTGGTCGCTGACCTGGGAATAAAAGGTAGCTTCTTCTGGGAGTCATGACCTGGCTGCTTCCTGCTTTTGCTTTTTTATTTCTCTTCCATCATTGCTCACCAGCAAAGAGCCAGAGGACAGTGTTGTGCATGCAGATTGGATGATTTGAGTGGAGGTGGTGGAACAGGAGGAAGCTTTTTATTATCTGCTGAGCGAGGAGGCACAGATACATGGGGAAAATGCATTAAAAGCCAGTCCAGACTAAAGCATGAAGGCAGCAGAAATACCAACTCGATACAGAGGTAATAGGTCACATAATAAATCTTTAGCAGGTGATGAAAAGGCAGGAAGTTGATCAGAACCACAGAGAAACTTTATTTTCATGAAAAATAGTGAATTTTACTTTCTTCGTGTTTGTCTCATTTTAATAAAGTGAAGATTCTATGAAGCTAGCTCTTTCCACCCATAGAAACA